AACTGCCTCTCTGGTGACGAGGAGGTTCAGTGAGAATCCGAAACAGCAGACCAGCGATCGCTTTTTCTTGAAACTTGTATTTTTGCTGCTTTTTGGGCAACTGTCAGCGTTTCCCGGGAGGTGTGTAATTTGTGTTTCATGGACTCTAGAAGTTGTTGCTCAGCCCCTGACAACTATGTTCCACCTCATTGGCTCATATCAATTGGCCTCGCTAACTAAATGAGATACTCTTTTTCTGATACCACAACACGCATGTACAAATGGGGGACTCAAAGCTAACCCCCCGACATCTCCGTCAAATATACTGATAGCCGCTTTGTGGGTCAGGGAAGCATAAATGTCTGTTAAACCCCGTCCAAAAACGGGACTTAAGCGGCTCAAGACCCGGCCATTGCTCTTCGGTTATGTACTGTGCAGGTCACAGTGAGTTTGACTGGAGGATCCTAGATGGTTTAAACAGTCGAAGTTCTGCATTATACTTTTGCGGACTTTTTATCCCCTCAAATTGTCGCACTGTCTAGTCTATGTATTTATTTACCACAGTGACGGCGCAGAAACTAGCCTAGACGCGCGTGTTTCGCCGATCATGTGCGGTTGCTTGACCCAGCTCTAAGGGGTTCGCCTCATCAATGGCTACCCCAGCGTCCCCCGTGTGTTTTCTTGCACACAAAATCCAGTTTACATTCAGCCTTGTTTACTTTGCGAACCACCCTCTCAAGATCGATGAAGCACGTGTGTCTGAACCCTTCACTCTCAGTATGACAAATAACTGCGTAATTAAGAAGAGAAGGACTTCTTTGGGAAATTTGAAACTTTAATGCGATAATTTTCAAGACAGGTTCTTCCACTCGTCTCCCGACCTGAGAAAATGTGCAACAAGCAATTAAAATTTTAAACGTCCAGAAAAATCATTAATCATCTGACATGAACACTGATTGGCAACTGTGGATTATGCCAGATTGCGCCAGTAGGCGTTGCATGCATTCCATCGTGCTTAATCGCGCGCATTGAATTTGTCTTTGAGGTAATTATAGCTGGAATCCAAATCGATATGCCTGTTGATGCATGCATCGTCTGAGTGCACTGCTTCCAGGAATTCACAGCCTTTTCTAGTTGGATAAGTGCCAACAATCAATGTGTCCTTCCGTGCGAATTTGTGGCCATTTTCCAGTGTGCGCATGGCCACCTGGGATAAGTGGTCTCGTCTTCTGACCGCTGATTGGTGTTGGTGTACGCGGGTTAACTCGCATTTCCCAGTTTGGCCACAGTAACCTGCATCACAACTGACACACGTAATGTATACTGCGGACGGGCACTTTACCAGTTTGTGAATATTACCTGGGGGTCTTGTTCTGCAGTAGTCGGAGGACTTAGTTCAAGCGCCACGCATTTATTATCGCGGAAATCTGGCGGGGCCGTACCATATATTCTGATTTCGGCTTGCTTTATTAATGCACCTTCGTAGTACAACAAAACACCGGGGGGAGGGGATTCAATCTATAGTCTGGCTTAATTGTTCTAATTCCTCTCTCTTATTCCCCGCTCCATATGTCAATGAGCTGTCTCTGACAGGCTTTGCTGACAACCC